TTTAGTTAGTTTTTGCCGTGAGTTTTGCCTTGTTTTCACAAGGCAATAAGAATTGCGTATTGCCCGTGGGCAATACGGGGAAATCCGGACCTGTCAGCAGCCAATCAAATTGCAAAATTAACCAAAACAAGCGCTTGCCATATAATAAATTTTGTTATTGAAATAATATTGCGCCACAACACACGAAAATACGCGGGCTTTTCCCCGAGATACTAAGACTGTTCACATGATACGCGTGCTATAAAGATGTACCTAGGAAGCGGATGGAGACACCCCATCTCGCCCTCAAAAATATAAGAATATAGAGAACAAATATAAACCACACTAGCTAGTGGTGTCCTTACAGCTTTGGCAAGCAATCCATCCCTAAAGGCCCTTTTATTAACCAAAACGGCCCCGGGAAGCTTGTCCCCCCCTGACCCCCCAAACTCTGGATACCTCCTACGCCCATGTATAGAATAGACCCTGTTTTGCGTGCAGCCTTTTACCACCAGGAGCAAAGGGACAAAGTATCAACGAGCTTCACTAAACATAGCACAATCGTCCGGTGAAAAACTCAGATATCGCATTTATTTTGGAAAGATAGAGAGTTTGCACCATGAAATCATATTCACGGCTGGTAGCCGTATAACATACGTCCGCTGTATGGTATATGGTTTATGAATGGTGATATTAGAGAGTTTGCACATGAAATCATATTCACGGCTGGTAGCCGTATAACGTACGTCCGCTGTATGGTATATGGTGGTTGAATGGTAATATTAGAGAGCCTTTGCACCATGAAATCATATTCACGGCTGGTAGCCGTATAACGTACGTCCTCTCTATGGTATATGGAGTATAAATGGTGATATTATAGAGTTTGCACCATGAAATCATATTCACGGCTGGTGGCCTCATAACGTACGTCCGTTGTATTGTATATGGACAGGGCCGTCGCGAAGTGATTTGGATTGGGGGGGTGTCAGGGGTAAAAATACCGAGTGATTCAAGACAGGGGTGGCGCCAGGAATTCCCCGACACAGGGGCTAAGTTCCCCGACAGGGGGTTGGGGGCTGAGCTCCTGGTTGTCTTTAACGTGTAGGAAGGTAAGGAAGCACAGTTTTCGGTTTATTGCTTCAGTCCCATGCCTTAGATTTGGAGCCTATGCTCTCGAGGCGCCACCTTGGTTGGCGCCGAGCGAGAAAATTTTTGAAATTTGATTGCTCTAGATCTTTGGAAATTAGCATTTCAGAGTCTTATCGCGGACTTTTTCATGAAAATTTTTATGCTACAAACCATGTACAATGTAAAATACTAAGTTAAATTTTGAAGCAGTTTATTGTTTTATTTGGGAAAAAAAACAATAGAGGGCGACTCAATATATCTCCTGTTCATTCCCCGAATTGTAAAATTCTCCCCGACAGGGGGGCTAGAGTTCCAATATCTCAGTGAAGGCTGAACTGACAGTCAAACAAAAATCACGCCTGAGGACAATTTAAGAAGTAAACATGGGTTTCACATTTCAGCCTCCCGCCGATTTTCGACGACTAAATGACGACACTTCTGACACTGAGATGAACTAATCAAAACTATTAAACTAATATGGTTTAAGCATAATATTGTAAGACAACAATTTGTACAAACAGTATTTCAAAATACGGCAAAAATGAAGTTATTGCTTCAACGCCTACATATTGCTATATAAGTTTCTTTGATACTTTAACAATTCACTGAATGCCGATTTTGTTCGACTTGCCTAACATTATCGTAGCAATTTGCCGACTCCGGCCGATTGGAACAAATTATTGGGGGGGTGAAGCCCCCCCAACACCCCCCCGCTCGCGACGGCCCTGTATATGGAGTACGAATAGTGATATTAGAGAGTTTGCACCATGAAATCATATTCACGGCTGGCAGCCGAATAACGTACGTCCTCTGTATGGTATATGTAGTATGAAGGGTGATATTGGAGAGTTTGCACTATGAAATCATATTCATGGCTGGTAGCCTTATAACGTACGTCCGTTGTATGGTATATGGTGGTTGAATGTTGATATTAGAGAGTTTGCACATGAAATCATATTCAAGGCCGGTAGCCGTATAACGTACGTCCTCTGTATGGTATATGGAGTATGAATGGTGATATTAGAGAGTTTGCACCATGAAATCATATTCACGGCTGGTAGCCGTATAACGTATGTCCGCTGTATGGTATATAGTGCCTCATTTTATTTAAACCAAAGGTGATGGTGGTAAACACCATAAGTGTTTGTGGAAAATTTCACCATTCATACTCCATATACAATACAACGGACGTACGTTATAAGGCCACCAGCCGTGAATATGATTTATTTTTGCAAACTCTCTAATATCATCATTCAACCACCATATACCATACAGCGAACGTACGTTATTCCGCTGCCAGCCGTGAATATGATCTCAGGGTGCAAACTCTCTAATATCACCATTCATATACACCATAGAAAGGACGTACGTTATACGGCTACCAGCCGTGAATATGATTTCATGGTGCAAACTCTCTAATATCACCATTCATACTCCATATACAATACAACGGACGTACGTTATGAGGCCACCAGCCGTGAATATGATTTCATGGTGAAAACTCTCTAATATCATCTTTCAACCACCATATACCATACAGCAGACGTACGTTATAAGGCTACCAGTCGTGAATATGATTTCATGGTGCAAACTCTCTAAAATCAATATTCATACATCATATACCATACAGCGGACGTACGTTATATGGCTGCCAGCTGTGAATATGATTTCATGGTGCAAACTTTCTAATATCACCATTCAACCACCATGTATCATACAGCGGACGTACGTTATAAGGCTACCAGCCGTGAATATGATTTCATTGTGCAAACTCTTTAATATCAACATTCATACACTATATACCATACAGCAGACGTACGTTATATGGCTGCCAGCCGTTAATATGATTTCATGGTGCAAACTCTCTAATATCAACATTCATACACCATATACCATACAGCGGACGTACGTTATACGACTACCAGCCGTGAATATGATTTCATGGTGCAAACTGTCTATCAGCATTCATACACCATGTACCATACAGTATAGGTATATGTTGTAGAGCTACATGCAGTGTTTTAAATGTTATAGTTATAATATTAATGGTTTTGTGTTATGGTTGCAATAAAGGCTTTGTTAAGAACAATATCGACAACAATATGCCACGACTACACACCCAATGGTTTATTCATTACGTATATTTTTCATAACAGAAAGGATAGGATTAAAGAAATATGACTTTATTTGAAAATTTCTCTTTGCTTCTTTCTTGAAACTGCAATAGCTGAACAATCTGAGGAAGATTGCACGATTGCACACTCCACACTACAATCACTAAGAATGCCTGTGGATAAAAATCAAAATCATTAAACTACTTCTCAACATTTATTGACATATATATGTCAAGAACTTATATATACATGCAAGTACCATACCTTTTATTTTGCATATGCATGGTTCTTGCATGACGAAGTATGCTACAAGTATCTCTACTTCCGTGGTCAGTTCTATAGTGAGCATTTCTGTTCTCATATCATCCTAAGCCTTTTTGTTTTCTCTGGGCTTTTTGATAAGGAGTTGTGCCATCAACTTCACTGATCCTCTCATCTAATCCTTCATCTTCTATTTCAGAAAATATAATTTGCTCATGTATTTCATCATCATTACCTTCTTGTAAAAACCTTGTAGGCTGGGCAACCTTCTCCATTTCTGTGAGACCATCATGATGATGAATGACTATACAGGAACAGAAGGCAACTTTTTTACACATATCGGCAAATATCACTTGAATGGTACATATTTGACATAATATGACCTACAGTTTCTGCAGTCCTTACCTATAAATCATTGCAAAGTTGCATAATTCATATAAACCATTGATATAAAGAAACCAAAATAAATATGTACCCCATACTAGTTATATCATCAAGCCAGATGCCTAACAAAATTGCCTTCCTTTGAAAAATTAAAGAAAAATACCACAATAAAACTGTTAAAACTGTTATAAGAGTAAACTCTTTCCAATTGACTGACTCATAGCCTAAAGAAACATTATTAGAATCTTGTAGTTGCAAAAGATGGCGTCGTTTATTCCAGAATTAAATTCATAGCAAATAAAAATTTCGCATTTTCCAGCAGAATCTCATGTACTTCTAAAGTTCAGTATCTTACTTCTTCATTCTTTAAAGTTATAAACTTAATTTTTCGTTTAACTTCAGATTTAGGTAAAGAATTTCTGTAGAAACTATAATTATTGGCAGAACTCAGCGTACAAACGTACGTACGTTACACGGCAAACAGCCCGTCCGTTTGGGGTGTTTTTTACTGGCTAATAGCCGTATGGAAAGAGACGAAACGGGTGAAATATCATAAAATGTAATATAAGGTCAGCAGATGTTGGAACTGGGGTCAGGCAGTGAGGGGGGGGGGGCAAAGTTGCAGATACGCTCTTTCATTTTGAGGGATTCATTCCCAAATGTTAAGTAAATTGCCACTTCCGAGTTTCAAGAATGGCACAGGAAGCTTCTATAGTATGCGCCGAAACAGAAGTGCCGTATCACGAAACAGAAGTGCCGTATTCTTATTTTTACACACACTTTTCAAGCATGAGTAAATTCATTAAATCAATTCTATCAAACTTCTCTTATATCAAAGTCTTATTGAATTGCAGATTTCGCGTAGTCTTAAAATACGACTGGCAATCAAGAAAATCATTTTATTTCGCCAGACGACAGGGGAAATATGTGATGCTGTCAGCTATTGCTCTTTTGTTATAGAACTTGTATTCCTGCCGAAGCTGAGCCAACACTCAACTCAAGTTCCTGTTTTCCTTTGGTGAATTTCACTCGGCCTTTTTGTAAAAATCACGGAATCATTTTATCAAACTACGTTTTTCGAACTCCTTCTCGACAAAATACGAAAAAAACGAACTAAACCGAGTCCAAGACACTCTCGAGAGGCTTGGGGAGTTAAAAATAAGTCTTTATTCGAAGATTAGCGTTACCAAAGTGCGAATATGCATTCCAATCCTAAATATATACCTTTGTCATTTATTTTTTCCGAGTTGTGACAGAACGCAAAGTGTTTATAAAGAGAAGGCAGCTTGTCGTGAAACACGCGTTAACGTGTACCACTTATGTGACTATGTAAGCATCAGGGAGACTTTTAAAAAGTATTTTTCAATTCGGTGGTCGGGTGCGACACCAGAAAGAAAGAAATTCATACTTGGAGATCTACAACCAGTCCGAAATGCGGGTGACTCGCCAGAATGCTGGTACACTGAATTCAGAAACACAACAGGTAGAATTGACACATCTGTAAATCATTTTCTTATGTTTAAATTAATTCTATGCTGCATGATAGAAAGCAAGTCCTATGAGCTGACTCAAAAATGCTTTATCCCCTGAAAAAAATTACCCACTGAGGTGCATTTTAAGAAAATTCAAGATTTTTGACGCATTGTGACGTTTATTGCTTGGGCAACCTAACGATAATTTCACTCCCAGAACCTATATCTTTTTGTGCGGCGCTGATTACATGTTTTGTCAGTACTGTGAGGCAGTTACTAGCATTTTCTCAATGTAATATTCCAGATAGACTCACAATAGTAGGAACAAGTGCAAATATAGGTAAGTGTTGATTTATGTTCAAGCTGCTACACGAATCAATCAAGTAACAAACTCTGCGTGAATGTATTTTTAATTTCAATTATCAATCTTATTATATACTGGATGCAAATAGGATTTAGAAACATTCACAAATGAATCTTTTTGTACTCTGAAGCCACACAACATCCATGCCTGTTATATTATGCGGCATTTTCTAAAAATAGGAAATGCCAAATAGCATAGTTACTGAAATCTTCTTAGCTTAATATAGCGCTAATGATGACATGATAGATCAGTATGCTAGTGTCAGTTCTCCTCAGTGACTATAGTTTTAAGAATATCGTTTCGTTCTAAAGAGGAAAAAATGACACACAGTAAACACGGTTACTTAAGTTTATTGTCTGCAGCTGCTATATCGCTTTTCCACACAGATTGTCTATACTTAAACGGAAGCAGCTACAATGGTAACATATCAGTGACATCTTCGGGTATTCCATGCCAATCATGGACAGAACAATGTCCACATCGTCATACCATGAACACCACATATCCAGAATTAAATAACGCCAAGAATTACTGTCGTAATCCCAAGAACTCAGGACAACGGCCTTGGTGTTTTACTACAGATAGGAACAAAAGATGGGAGTACTGTGAGATTCCTAAATGTACACCAGGTGATGCAGGTTTATTTCAGATGTTTGAAGAACTTCTTTTTCGTTTTCTATGCACTTTCGGTACAGACATTCTTTGTTATTTTGGGCGTTGCCTTATAAGCCACGTAAGAAAACGAAAACATAATAATCAGTGGGAAAACGAGGCAGCCCGTAGGGCGAGTTTTTCTACGTTATGTCGAGCTCTCCAAAACTCTACAAGTGTTTCTATAATTGTGTATAAATATAGAAAAAATCTTTCTTTCTTTTATAACGCAAAAAAATTTTTCTACGTCCCGTGTTTCTGTACAGCTTTAGTATAAATTTCGAGGTGACTATTCATTTTCATCCGTTCTGATTGACTAAGATTCACTGTCTCTGAAATGATAGTCACTGGTCGGCTACTCGTTGTTTTTCAAATAAGCAATTTGAAATAATCATAATTTTTTATGAAATTGTGTTGATTGTTATTTGTAAACACCTGGAAATTTATACTAAAACAATTAGTCGCCTTGTGAAATTCATGAATAATTAATGAGTCTATCTTGCAATCATTGCGCAGCATTTTGGTCACATGTATACATTTGTAATTCTCCATAAAGGTCTCATGAATTGTTAATTAATATATTAACTTTGATACAACCAATCTTAATTAGTATTCATAACTTTGTTACACACATGCCCTAATATGCATTAAGCTTTATTTATTCTTTTTACAAGCACGTTAAAATACTCATTCACTTCACCTTCGGCTAGTGAATATAGGCTTGTAAACACCTCCCCTTCGTCGACAAATTGTTAAATAGAAGCACACAGTACGCTTCTCGACCAATCAGCACGTGCGCACTATATATAAATGTTATATTAGAAAAGTAATTAGTGGGCGGGAGGAAGGGCTGCTTGCCTACCGTGCGGTGCTGATTTCAAACTACAGCTTCGGCTTGAATTACTGAGAAAAGGGGGAGGGGTGAAAAGTGCAACCAACAATGGATTTTATTAAGTTTATTTCATATAGGGCAAAAACTGTTCGTATTCAGCACCAGTACATTTATTACGTTGTTTAGTTGACGGTAATTATGGGAATTGGTCATTAAAAGATAAGTGTAATGTGAGTTTTTGAAACATGGCAACGAGATTGTGACAAACCTAAGCCAAAGTTTGGCGGAAAATATTGCAGTGAAATCGGAGAGTCAGTTGAATACAGATCCTGTTTGGCTGAACCCTGTCCAGGTAAAGAAATATTATCTTGTTCAAGCATAACTAATATAAGCCGTTAGCATAGTCGACCCCAGAAAATTATCTTGTTTCTTTAACATTGACCAGCAGAAGCAATTCAAACCAATAGATTGTGTCCAGGAAATTAACACATTGTAAATGATTTAATTATCACATACGCGTGGGAATTGAGAATTAGATTTAGTTCAAGTCCTCATTACATATAGTATAAATAATTCCTAGAATAATTCTAAAACCGGGCGCAAAAAGCGATGATAGTCGGTTTTTCATGATGCGCACGAGCCTAAGTGTACCATCAATGATAACATCATGATTTTGCTGAAAACATCAACTTAAACCCGGGTAGGCAGACTAAAATTATGTTATCATTTCATGTGTGTGCCTAAGTCTTTTTCACCCTACCACCTTTGCCACCCTTGCATAGAAATGACCAATACTGGTCACACCACGTGCAAGTTGTTTACTAACTTTGATTAATGTGCCGGTAATTTTACTAGTAAACGGTGGTTATGGCAACTGGAGTGTTAGAATTCCTTGCAATGTTTCGTGCGGTGAAGGAGTGGAGATATGGCGACGTAATTGTGATAATCCTAAACCCAAATACGGAGGCAGTAACTGCAGTGGGCTGAGAAACTCGGCTGAATTAAGAAAATGTAAAAGAAAAACTTGTCAAAGTGAGAGTCAAACCAACTATATACATGCTGAAGAGTAACACCATGATATTCAGCGCTTCTGGCATTAAAATCTGGCTTAATCGTCGACACGAAGCTCCATCAGTTGATTCAGTTCTATAACGTCCAGTCACTAGCTGTTAATATAATAACGTTACATTGTCTTTTTTATACGTAACATTTCATTGGTCAAGAGCCATGATCTATTAGAAGACTGCTGCACGGAATGACGTCACAAAAAGTTTAACGAATTTAATCACTTTTTCATTTTGTCAGCCAATCACACTTTAGCAAGGGTTGTAAATTAGCTAATCGCATTTTCAAACCAATAGATCACGAACTCTATGCGTGATATGCGCATAATTTTTACCTTTTCAATTTTTGCACTAATTTGGGAAAATAAAAACAACCTGTTTGCCTGTTTAATTTGGGACCTTTTCGATTTTATTATAGAAAACAAAAAGATAACATTTAACCGTTGTCTGTTAAGTAATAGATACACGGTTTGACGCCATTAGTGATAAGAACAAAAAGTTACCAGTCTCCTCGGCAGCGCGTGGCTACTTTTTGGGTTCCATAACTGAACAGACAAGGGTTAAATGTTGTCTATTTATTAATTGGCACATTTTTTACAAAACGTCGAAGTATCTCATTCTAATTTTCATTTTGCAGTTGCTGGTGTTTATGGCAACTGGACAAAGCCTTCCCCGTGCAGTGTCACGTGTGGTCAAGGTGTTGAAATATGGACGCGACTATGTTATGTTCCGCCAGGAGAGTTTAGTGAGAATTGTAGTAAGCAGGGAGCAGCTTATCGGGTTCAAGTATGTGAGATGAAACATTGCTCAGGTAACCATTGTTTCGGTCTTAGTACATCCGGGTAAAACGCAAAATTCCTCACCAAAAACATTTTAGTGTTTCACAAGTTCCTGCATAATCATGCTCGTTTTTCATAAAACATTTTCAGTCTGCAAAATCTTTCAAAAATATCTTGCTTGCTCTGTTACGCTATGTTACTCAATCTTTTAACAATTTTTTTTGCGAATTTTTAGATGTTTCCAAAAACCGGACCATTTCTATCATCATTGCTACTGTTTCTTTCGTGATTGTCATTGCAGTTGTTTTGTTCATTCGAAAACAAAAAGCCAAAGAAGGTGATTATATATTACTGTGCCTGACTATATTACTTTACCGTTTCTGATTCATTCAGATCAATACCGTAGCCAACTGTCTTTACACAAATACGGCTCACATTCAGCTAATACTTCGTTGAGTACTGGGTGTATCAATAAAACGGCAGCCACCTTATATTCATATATGTTCGTTTCTATTCCATAACAAAAGATAGTAGGCACCTGGGAGGCTTGCGCTTTTTTGATACACCCTATAGTTTGATAACAACTGTTTTATTTTCGGATCCATTGGTCTCGCCTGGAAGGACGTGTCCTCTTAGTCATATTCAAAACCGCGTCATTATCTTCAATCCGCTTAAAAAATGTGGAGAGTATGTTGCGACGATTAAACCAAACAGTACCGTCGATAGGGCTCGGGAAACGGGCCGAATGCTGAAAACTGGGCTTATATGTATGCCTGTGGCACTGAAAAATATTTACAATTACAGTGTGAACTAGTCCGCACATGATTAAATGTAAATGTAAAGATGTAATATAGGTGTAAATTTGTAATTATTGATAAGTTTGTGACTGACACATAATACAAGCTAACATTCAGTCAGTACATAGTTTACCCCTGTTTCTCATTCAATGCTCAACTTCCTGCGATGTTTCCTATTGAGTTTCAACGACGCCAGCGTTGCAATCACCAAGCATGGTAGGAAAAAGAGGTAAAAAGTTTGGTAAATTGGTATTAGCATTTTTTTAATCCTCATAGACTCTTCACATTCCGCAACTCCAGAGAACCGCCCTCCAGAGTACGGCAATCTTACACCTGATGGAAATCCGATTCCACAACATTCGCGTGGTGTTGTGCTGTGGAGAAGAGATTATGTCAACACACATTCTTCGCAGAGATCTTGGTATGACAGACTCCAACTATTTCCACCATTGGCGGTTGAATGGCTTCGAAACGCATGGGGAAATGTTGATGAGTCTGGCAACATGTTTATACGTCCTGGGACGTCATGTCAAAAATGTTTCGTTCCGTACGACGATTTGTGCTTAAAAACAAATACGGTACAAGAGGGAAATGGGACAGAACTTTACGACACTCCAGAACGACCCTCACCTGTCATATTACCTACAGAAATTGCTAACTGTCCCACAACCGAGATTGCTTAATAATTACAGGACATCTGTCTCTCTTCCCTGGAAGTCGTGCTGGGTTTTTTAACTTTGCTGACCGATCATAAAATTTACTTTGTCACAGTAGCTTAGTATGTTTTTTTATTTGCATATTCTTTATAAACATCAGTGTAGTTTTCTTGTAATTTTTGTCTCGCATATTCAACCCGGGATGCCGAAGCAGTTGGGGCAGGAGGGGCAGCTGCCCCCTTGCCTTTTGCTAGCAGGGACAAGGGGAACAAAGGTGTTTACCATTTACATGGGAAACCTATCCGGTTTGAAATTGTGCTAATGGTAAGCAAAATATTTGTTAAAAATCCCATTCGGATTATGCGCTTTCCATTTATACCGGAATCCATTGAGTATTTAACAATTCCAAGATAACGGCTTTAATTTTTGACATCTTTATTTTAAGTCAATGGTGTCATTTCTGTTGTAAAAGGAAGCAACTTAAAAACAAATTCGTTAGAATTACTTTACTTACCACGTTCATTGCCACGCAATCGTATTGTACCAGTAAAGGAAGGTCTCCAGTGCTGAAGAGGTATGAATTGCACTGAAACGATACATTGATTTTTTAAATTACCGCGTAAATTTAATCGTGAGGAGCCTGGAAGTGGTAAAAAAAATTGAGACGGACAGAATTAACCGCTTGAAACTTCCCAATCGGTATGAGAGGACAACCTTTTCAAACAAGCCGTTTATTCCGGAAAATTTCTGGTTGAGCCTTCGAAATATGCTTTTTCCATTTATTTTCCATATGGAATCACCGGAATTTCCATGTAAATGGTAAACAACCAAAGTTGCCCTTTCATTTTAACGAACCTTTCATTTTAATGAACAGTTGCAGGGAAAAACGCGTCAACTACAGTTCTTCCGGCAGGAATCAAATTTACGCATTTGCGATGCCGGTGCGATGCTCTTGCCACTAGGGAGTTCACGATCTACGACGCGGTTAGCTCGACGACGCTAGTCAATTAATTTGCTGGAAAAAGGCTACGAGAAATTAATTATGCTGCCAGGGCTTTAAAATATTCATACAAACATCTCAATAATGCTCAGAACCTCTGATGTCTAGCTGATATTGCAGTTTCATATAAGCTATCAAACAGCTAACACGTTGCAGCTGCTTTATGTCGTCGAGAGGCCGTGAAATTGCCTTATTTCAAGGCGTCGCTGGGATGGCAACGCTATCGTGGGACCACAAATTATGCATACCTATTTTCTCGCGTGTTGAGTTTCTCTGTTTCGCAAGCGCGTCGTCGAGCTGGCAACGTCGTGAATCGTAGACTACCTACTGAGCTGCAGAGGTAGATGGCAAGAGCAAGCGTGTTTATTTAATGCATGTGTAGGATGGTAATGCCGGGAATGGTTAAGGGTAAATCGATTATGATTTTTGGCATTCACTCGATGTAAGTAAATTCTAGAGGTTTTAAAGGGTGTTATTATATGACAAGCGTCACTTCAGGTGAAATGGAGCTCAGTGATTAGCAGTGTCAACTATATGTCCTCCGGCAGTAATCGTACGTACGCTTTTGCAATGCCGGTGCAATGCTCTTGCCACTGAGCTACAGAGGTAGCTGACAAGAGCATTGCACCGGCACTTGAATTTGCCCTCCATTATCGCGCTCCCTTTTTCGACTGATGTTTTCGATACCAATGCCTCCTCTAGTGTTATTTATAATCTCTATGCTTGGAACACTACCGCAGAGAAAGGAAACGATACAGAGCTGTTTTGTACCTGCTTTTTTTAGTGCACGTGAGTTAAAAGTGACCAATTGCGCATGCTCGAGTTTTACAATATCGTCATCTATATTGCATTTTACACACTTAAGATGAATTGCAGAATTGTTTCTACTTTAAATCTATGGCACTTGCCAAGCATGCGCATAAAAATGTGAGTACACTGGTTCCAGTTCTGTATCTATTGTTTAGTCTCTGACACTACCTTGTTGTTATTTTATAAACAATTACTTAATGGCTTCTGCATGTGTTCGGATGGCCTGGTCCAAACACTTGGGAATGTTGGGAGAATTAGGAAAAGCTCGCAAAATCACTCACTTTCGGCTCCTGTTTCGCGCACTTTTCTGAACTCTTGAAATTCCATGCAAGAATATGGTTTACGAGCTAATTAATACATTTCTTAAGTGCGCAATATTTGATAAAAAAATAACAATGTATTAAACTAGACTAACATATGGACATGTATACCTTATTATTATTCTAACCTGTGGGCAATAAAATAGATAAATATACAATGATTTAAGGTTTTGGACTTTTGGAAGGAGATTTTTGCTAAAAGAGAAGAAACGTGCCACATATATTAACCAATTCTCAGAAATATGACGTCATTACCGCTATTATCCATCAATTCACACATTTTACTCAAGACAAATCTCGTTAGCCCAATTGTTTGCCTATCTCCGAAGTGTTGGGAGCTACGGCTCTCTAAACGGCTGAATTGGGCGTGCTCTAATTATAATAGGAACTAAGGTCTAGGTCAAACGTCCCTCTTTTCATGCACCGAATTCGAACCTAATGAAAATGAACTAAAGTCTTTGGTTGAGCTCCTTTGCATTAGGTTCGGCGCATGAAAAGAGCGACGTTTTTCCTAAGTTTCAAATTGTTTTCTTCTAGAAACTAAGAACGCTATTTGCTTTATTTTTAAAAGCTACGTATATAGGTCGAGCACAACAATGTGAGTTGTTTTTAAAACACCTGAAGTTTGAAAGAAGCTGTATATTTGACTCGATATTTTCAATAATCTCTGAAGTTAGGAGCTCCTATTATTACCGGCTATTAGCACAATCTTTAAAACACGCTGCTTCTAAAAGCTCAAGTTTCTCCAATGCAGTGTATAATGGTAAACAGATATATAACCCATTTTTCTCCTCTTGGAACACAATTCCTCCGTCATCGCTGTCTTCACTCCAAGGGCTACTGCTGCCGCTTTCACAATCACTGGAACTAATTGTTTGTTCTTGGGAGGTATGATCGGGCGCGGTAGAAATCTTTGTTCCGTTATGCCTCGGCGAGGCTTGTTCCAGTGATGTCGAGGGTACTGTGATGTGCTGTTTTGAAACGGCATGCTCCCGCGATGTCGTGACTGCTGGGTTGAGTTGTTCGGAACACACCTCTTCCTGTTGTTGGCTGAAACTTGTTTCTTCCGCCTGTTTTTTTGAAGCAAGTTCTTGCGATGGGAAGGCGAAACCTTTCTTTGGTAATAAGTCAGCACTCACTTCGCAAACACCATAAGCAAATACTTGCTTCGCATTTTTTTCATCACGAAAGAACACAAGAGAACCTGAATCACCGTTTTTCAGGAAAGGAGCACCACCGTATCCTTCGACAACAAATCCATCCTCAAAAAGCGGTTCCTGTCCTATGCTGTAGCTGAAATCATAAGGAACGATATATCCTTTCGTTAAGGCTGAAGAAAAACCGTTTTTTTCTACATGAACTGGACTCGTTTTCTTTTCAATAACTCGCTCATACAGTTCGTCATCAATCGTATCCCAATCCGGTGAGGTTACACCCGAAATTGTACAAAAAAGTTGAACGTCATTCGGAATCTTTAGGGACAATATATCACATTCTGTATTAAAATGCGCGTTTTCAAAGTCACCAAGTCGCAAGTAGTTGCTCCCATCCCCAAACGAAATGGCCTCGTTGTTGGTTTCTCCTTTGCTTTCGGTAAAAAAGTATTCTTTTTTTACGGCTTGAGCTTGCAAATATGCCAGTTTGCTGCGCATTTGTTGGATACCTTCTGCTTTATTGATTGCAGCATTCAAACGAGCTTCATCAGATGCACAAGCAACGTGAAAGCAAGTAAGTGCGTAATGCTGTCCGTTTTTGCAACAAAACATAGTTAGCGTTCCTGTTCCTTCCACATCAGGTAAGTCTCTCTCGCCTTCAGGTACATGACATGGGTTATGATTACTTTGTCCACTGCAAGCTAATACACCACCACCTGGTGCTGGAAGGACTGGTGTAGCGGACGATGAAGTTTCGACTCCAACACTCGAAGTATTTTGATCCCGAACCAAGAATTTGATATTCGGATTTTCTTTAGGCTCTTGCAGAAGCTCAAAATATTGCTTTGCGTCAACATTGAATTTTTCTTCAAGGTCGCGTCGTACATCGGATTTTTTCATTCCTCTTTTAATTGTGAGGTAAATACGTGGGCGACAAATCTTCTCGTTTGGGCCAGAAAGGCCATATGCTCCACACAACCACGGGAAACTATATATAAAATATCAAATATACATTATGCATGGAGAAGTAACTTTAAAGCTTTAGAGAAGAGCCAACCTCGTATAAGTAAACTATAGCAAAGTTAGTTGTACGGAACACTAAATACCTCCTTAAAGCTTCGTGAATTTCTTTTTTTAGCTTGCGTTTTGAATTAAGAAAAGTGTCTTTAAACCAGGTGTTACTTTCGTTTGGGCCAGGAGGGCTATGTGCTCCGCATAACCGCGGGAATCTATAAAGTATAAAGAATATTAATTTATGTGGAAGCAAACACCACTTTAAAATGCGTTTAAATAGAGAAATGTGTACAAATTGTTGTTAAGAGAGTTAGGCGGAAAAAGCATAATTACTCGTACCTGGGAGCTTTAGCCCCGCTGGACGGCCCAGGTTGCGAAGGAGATTTAAGAGGAACGCTATAATTTGTATAATATTATATAATTTTGAAATTCACTCTCGAAAAGTGTAATTTTGTGTACAAAAATGTGATAAAGAATCATGACAGAAACTGTAACAAAGCTTTTCAGCTTCCGTTTCACATTAACAATAACTTTTTCAAACCTGGAGTTTATATTTTCTTGAGACATCTCCGCATGCGCTGGCTTGGTATCTGTTTTTGTAGAACATGAAATTAAAACATATTTTAATTAGTCAAAAATGTCAAATCTTAGAAATATCCCCCATCGCCCCTTCGTTATTGTTGGTTCAACTAGAATTTTGATCTCTCATAAACTTTGTCGCTGTGGTAAACCCCAGAAGTGTTCGGAATTATTTCATTTACATACGAGGTTTTCTCGACTTACACGAGACTCTGCAGTGTTGCGGTAACTCATTCCTTGGTTTTTCCTTAAATGTAATTAAGTACTCAGGGTAGTGCTGATAGTCGTAAAAAACAACGTGGATCAGTGGATTTCTGACATTGTCAACAACAGAGTCGTAACTATTTGGATTGCTAGCGTCAATTTGTGGTGGGGCAATCAGACCTTCTTTTCCTTTTGTGTATTTACCGACTAAGACCTTGGCTATATACATATACTGAAGGCTCTCGTTATCAGGAACAGCATATTGCCTTCTGCAGAAGTACCAAGCTTTGTTGGAAAAACACACACCATTTCCAAACTTTAAAGCTGTAATATAAATAAGAACTATATCATTACAACCGTAATCTGTAATTTTCTCCTTCAGTTAGGGTTTCATGGATGTGGAAGATTGTTTTGATTAAAATAGGTGGATAACGTTGTTTTTGAGAATGGATGTGGATAAATGAAGAGGTATAGGTGGTGTTGAATTGATAAAGGGCAGTAATGAGTTAAGGAATGCTATTTGGGAGCGAGGCATTAATTAGTGATGGTGCTTGAGTGTGAATAAATAATGCTTTAAAGTTCAATAACTCATTTTCTTCAAAAGGCAGTCGTACAGTCACAAGTTGCCCAGATTGTTTCTTTGTAGGTAGAAACAGGAATAAATAAACTACGTTGTGGCGCACCCAACGAACATGGTTGTTCACAAAGTTGCCATTACAGTTGTTAACTTAACAAGATGTTGCAACTTGCTGGCATAGTTACTGCTACGGTTCATCCTATTCTCCTCAAATGAGAACAATTTGAGCGTTTTATTGTTGTATAGAGGACCATTTGTACAAATATCAGAAGTTAAATTTGTCGAGAATTTGGTCAAGTTACCGTTAAATTTTCCAGAACAATATCTGTTAAAACCAGTGCAGTTAATTCTTTCCATAGCGTCTTTTGTTGTTCCATGATACAGCGACATTTCATTTCCACCATTGCTCATTTTCTGCTTTTTCGCCTGGTACAATTGATACAATCCTGGATTTTGAATTCTTTCAATCTTTACAACCTCCGTTTTACGTATGTTTGCCCCTAGTGAGAGCGATGCTTGAAACATGTCGTGGAGTTGGTTGTATTCTGTGTCTTTATTTGCAATATTGAATCGAAACACTTGAAGTTCCTGCCCAGTGGAACCATCTATTGGCTGATATTCCCAATTTGAAGGGAGTGGAAATGCTTAAAAGATGTAAATTAATATGTATCTGTATCAATCAATGCTTCGGTATTTTTAAGTATGATTAGGTTAAATGTCTTCAAAAATATTATCAAATAACAATACCTTCACACGGGCGTCTGAAAACTTTCATTGGATCTTCGCTTGAAGTCAAACATGTCTCTGTCATGGTTTTGAAATCTATTTTATATTTCGACTCAACGTCATCAAATTCGACAGTTCCTAAATGATTTCTTGTACCCGTCTCTATCTTGCGCTTATTTCCTTTGCGTACTTTTCAGGAATAACAACGCCTCTATTGCCCTCGTAATAGAACCATTCAACCTAAAACAAAGTGCATTAAGAATATTTTTACATGTGATGTTTGAATTCCTAAAGATTTGCTCTTTGGGAATTACTGATAGTTAGGTGAGGAAAACGCTACTAAATGAGATGCTACTAAAGTAAAGCCTGTTTTCCGCTCTTTGGCGGTTTGCCCCTAATAAAACCCAACAAAAAGCGTTTTAATTTTATGAAAGCACTCGCAGCAAACTTGCGAGTTGACCCGGGGTTGGGATATGTGAGTTAGAGAATATGCAAAGCAAAAGAGCATACCGTATTTACTCGTTTGAGCGCCGCAACGCTCTTTAAATTTTTAGAACTTTAATCGAGGGCTCTGCTCGATCGGGGGCGGCGCTCCTTGAATAATACTTTTTGTGAATTGTAACAAGAACTTTGAACAAAAATAATTGAAAGTTAGATGCAGCCAGATGTCCCCATTTTGACAGAGTCAGCGTTTTACGCTTTTATTATCCCATCAGTCCATGCATTCGGAAAGTGGAACAAGCCTCATTGGTTGGTCATGTTTTTTGAAAGTCAATATAACCCTTTAATATGTATAAGTAAATAAGAAAGTAAGTCCAACCTCTCGGACAGTCACATCCGTGTGGTGTCTCTCTCGTTCCCAGTCGTGGATTATTTTGTGAGTCTTCCCCACAGCAATCGCTACATTCCTTGCCAACCCGGTGATTCTGATGTATCCAAGAGCGGGTTCACACTCAATACGAACTTCGTGGAGGTCTTGTATTTCCATAATTTTTTCCAGTTGTCTCAAATCAATCTCCTGTTGTGTTTCGATGGTCTCAGTATGACATTGTTCTGTCTCGACCCGTTTCAGTTCTTCTTTGATCGTTGCGATATCGTTCGAACTTTCTGCTGCAATTTCCAGAGTAACTTGCTGTCTCGTCTTACCTGTGTTACCTATTGGAGAAAACACTGGTTCGGTAACTGTGGTATAAAAAGATTGATCAAGAATCCTCAAAACAAGTAATATTGTTTGTGTTTTATTGGCATTTTCCGTGCTAAGGAACGAACTTCGGTCCTCGGATCGTGAAATTCCTTTACGAACTTATTCTAAAGGCATCATAACATTGATTAGTGAGCCCCTTTAACTGAACTCAACATTTTGCGACTTCTTATAGGAGACCCCCTGAAGCTCGGAGGCCCAGTTACGCCACTGGAAGAAACAGTTTAGAACTAAACGAGCTATCAATCAAAACGGGAAAATGTATTCGTTTGTAGTCACACGAAATCAATGCGATTATCTTCGCTATATATATCCACGAGGAAAAGGTAATTGGGACTGATAAAACTATCCAGTATATATGCTTAAGGTTACTTCTATTGTAAGGTATTCCGTTGGAATAATTCGATCAATACGAGATGGCTTTTTAATGGAGCAAACAGAACAGAACCTATACAATTACTTAGTATGGGAAAACTTTTCAAACACCCTTAACTATCCATTTACGAGTCAACGATAAAAAGGTCTCTTTGTTACCTTGAAATGCCTCTTTGCGTGCGAAAGTTCTACTGAATTCCTCAAAAACCTTTTCTTGCAAAATAACAAATACGAATGAGCTTCAAGGACTTGTTATCTCTCTTTACGATATTCCCTAATGCAGTGGTGCAAAATCTCGGCTGATTGCTTGCCATCTTTCTGCAAACGACACCGGTTCCGATCGCGGGAAGAGACAACGAGGTGAAGCCGTTCATGTCAGCGTCGATTAAACACTTTTGTCACCACGTTTTGAATCATGAATTTGTCGGTTTCAAGAGCGCGCACATTTATAACCATGTGAAGCAATCTGCGAACCTTCAAATTTCCTGCCATTGTCATGACTACCGCTCCAGGATAAATCCTGCTCAATCCAATGTATTCTTGTCTTAAAGCTTCACCAGCCTCTTTATAAACCGCCGTTCCAACTTGCCCTCCTTATTAATAAAAATATCACTATCATTTTGATTCTGGTCTCACCCATGGACGCCGGAACGATGCGAGAGCAAAGTGGGCAGATTTTGGTAAAAGGGCACTCCTGTAGCGGCGCATTAATAACAATTAATTATATGAGGTGAGTGTGTGTCGGAAGAAAATATCCAAGCGGAAGTTTGCATTAATATTCGCTGAACATAAGCTGAGGCGGATAACGCAAACTGTCTAGACGATTATGTTATTCTTGATAGCACTCCTGCTTCGGATATAGAATGTAATTAATCTTTTAAAATGAAAGCGCATTTTTGCCCCTCTTTCCCCTGCTGGTAAAAGGCAAGGGAGCAGTTGCCCGCCCCTGTTCCGACATCCCAGGTCTTACCGTCAAAGGAGCTCAGTATTTGTATGCACCCCTGATGCACCCATGCATCTTCTCTCTGAAATACTGTTAATGTCTTGCTATTATTAACCACACAGCTAATATACTTGTGTATTTTTTTCTGAAACCAGAAATCCGATGCATCAGTGGACTCCTCAACAATATTTCCTTGAACGATTTTCACCTCAATTCCGTGTGTTTTATCCTTTTCCTGGCTCAAACTTCTATCGAGGGCACTCGAAGACTTTTTACGTGTTGTCTTAAAAATACCTGCATCACTCTCCGAACATCGTTTTGTTTTTCGTGTATTTGCATCGGCAGTTGGTGAATAAACTTGAAATTGTTCTTTGAATGCACTAACAGCCTTCGAATTTCCCTTGTAAACGACTACGTTAAACATTTTGACTTTTGAGGAAGGCTTGTCATTTGAACTGAATTTCATGGCCTCTTCAAACAAGATTTTTGCGACCAATTTTTCCGAGAATCCGAGAATCCCGGTACCGAGAGCAGGGATTGAGATGGAGGTGAGCGAGAGAGCTTCGGTTTTGCATAACAGTTTTCGCACAACCTCACGGAGTTTCTACAGAAACGTAATGCAATATGTTTCGATATTATACACGGATAAACCGCACAGTTGTTTCTGGTTGATGCAAACAGGATTTGATAGAATTCTATCTATTTACCTTCTCTCCTTGATCAGTTGTCCACCTGGGGCATGAAACATGAAAGACTTTCTTACATTTCAACTTGGCGCCATCTGTGATTGCAAAGTCTCCTTCGTTAACCTGGCCCTTTTCTTTTATCCATTTCTCGCAAAAAATTTTCATTACGCTTCCAGCTGCATCAAGAATTGCTTTTGAGCAAGGATTCTTCCTAAGGTTCAGATCACTTCCAACCGTGTTCACAATAACATCGGTCTAGGGAATGATTAATGTTTCAAATTAGCTTGATCTCATTTAGGATGCTTGCAAAATCTCGCAGGTTATATGTCATAATTTACTCACCGTGGATTTTGCAATGTTTCCAACAATTAGACGTATTACCATTCCCGCGGGAGTTTTAAATGTCAAACCATCACTTGCTGTGGGGGTATACGGTAGCGAAACTCCACTAGTTGCGCCTAGCAGCGGTCTCCATCTATCTCGAACCGGCTCATTGATATGTAAGTTTGAGTCATTTCTAAACCTTCTCGCTATTTCTTTCATTAATGCCTCTATTGCCAAGGGATCATTATCGACAAAATGAACTTGTTGTAAACTGTGGAAAGGTTTTTCTTGTAAGAATTCACAAGTCGCTGTTACCAAACTTTTTGCGCTGATATCGTGGGGTGTCCTGCAGACTCCTGTGCCGAGCGCTGGAATTGCAATAGTCTGACCATTAGTGGCCTTCTCCAAGACATTAGTACAACAATGTCTACAAAGGAAGTGTAGGTAAATTTAGCTGACACCATCATTAACAAGCACAGTCATCAACACTTCTAAAAACACCCTCGTCCTTACCATGACTAAGCAGCACAGTCTCTGATCACTATCCTAACATTTACCATAATTAACCATCATAGTCACAACTCTGTCTTCACCACCATTAACCAGCAAGCTCACTGCTAATTAATCACACATCATTTTACTCGTTCTTCCCATGCACGATAAAATAACATTGACCCACCTTAAATACTTCCCTCTCCTTGTTTCGACCTCATCATGAGCACTAGACGGACTGTACGTTGGCACCACTACATGAAGTATTTCTTTACACATCAATTTCCCTCCGTCAGTAGGGACAACTTTTCCAGGTAAAAGTTTTGCCGTTCCCATATCATTTAAGGCACGATAACTGTCCTCCTGGATTTTACGCCCTCCTTTTTCAACTATCGCCCCGGCAAGTCCGCCAGAGTGCTTGAGCTCGTCGTTCGCAGAGTTCACCAAGTAGTCTACGGCATGGTCGAGGATGTCACCTTGATGTACCTCAATGATCTTACCATTTGGGAAGGTGTATCGACATTGCATTGTACGCTTTCTGTCCTCCTTGATACTAACAGTGCTTGCATTTTGTAATTGGAATGAACTGTGTCTTCCTGGCTGATCGTTGAGTGTGACTGCAATCCCACATCGATGTTTTCTTTCGATGCTCTCAATTGCCATGTATGCCATTCCTTTTATACTCGACGCTGTTTCCGGTGTTCCGTAATTTATCTTGTGCACCTTTAGATCTGAAAACATGTTTTTATTGTTGGTACGTCATTTGCGTAAAATTAGCGCGGCGTAGCCAGCATTTAGGATATACCCTTTCTCCAAATAGCAAGCATTGCATGCTTATGCGAAAACCCGACTTCCAAACCTTGTCACGCGCAATTTGCAGTTGACTAGTTAAAATCTTATTCTCTAGTCAGAATAGTGCTTTGAGAATGGCTAAACGATACCCGAGGAATTTTGTTGGTATTCCTTAGTATACTAAATGCTTCGCGAGATAAATATTACATATGCATGAGAGTTCATGTATATAACTCAGAGTTTCAGCCTGAGCCTGTTGTTGTGCAAGTGATTTATCAGATCAGCACCACCTGTACTAAAAAAAATGTATTACAAACCTTTTGTAAGATCTTGTATGCTAGTACAACAATTCTCGACTACCAGCTCTCACCAGATAGCACCAAGGCTTCGCTTTCAAACTCTATCTTCAAGTGAGGTGATGAAAGCCGCAAGCCTTCTAAGGTAGTTCGCCCGTAAAACCAGAGATAGCGTAGAACTGCCTTTTGAAGTGGAACTCTTTGTTCTACTGTTTTCTTTTGTTCTTTAAAATCGTCGATTTTCTCGTTCAGGTTTCCCAAATGCTTTTTAAAACAGATGATTCGTGGAACGCTATCTTCTCTTTGTAATGTGAGCGGAGTCGATGTTCCCAACTCGTTGAGCAATTCATCCTGGGATGATTTCGTTCTCAAACCTGAAACAAAAGGTATAGAATTGAGGAGGTGGGAAGCGTGATTGGACTCATTAGTTTATGTTGAAAGATTCATAAGCGAAGATTCACAATAAACATTACAGAACTACACGCTACTTTCAGGGAGTTTTATTTCAACCATGGCGTTCACAATAATATCGTAGGCTCCGTCCACGTGTGTCTTTTGCATACCATACAGTGTTACCATTCCTTGTTTATCGACTACAACTTCCACCGTGACATTCTCCGCGGTCAACAACGACTTTACGTGTGAGATAGCTTTGTTTGCCTACAACAAGGAAAATCTGTTTTCATTCAAGGAACGTTGTTCAAAAAGATCAACAATTTCTTGCATTTCAATTTTAAAATTTTCTATTTGGATTTGTGAGCCTTTCACGGTTATTCTTTCCGTTTTTTCGTCTTTTATTATTTCCAAGCCCTCTCGCTTTGACGAGGTTTCCAAGCTAAACAAATAAGGCGGAAAAAGTCTCAGTCAATGGACGAATTGCGCTTTAGACTAATTTCTTACGTCGGTGAAAAAAGGATATTTTCTGAAAGAGCTTACTAAAATTAGTAAAACTGCCAACTTTGGCTGCGAATTGTTGTAAATTACGGAAAATATAGGCTTGTATAGCCATGCAAAGTTCACGAATTTTGTATACTTTTGTATTACAGCCGGAAGTGTGTAACTAATTTAATTACACGTTTCCGCACATAGGATGCAAAAGTATACAAAATTTGCTAACTTCGTATAGGGCTACATTTTTCGTATTTTACAAAATTTCGCAGCCAAACTTTACATTTGCGTGCGCTAATCTAAGTAAGATCTTTCTAGCTGGTGACTTTTTTTTCTAGTTACTTCAATCAAAAGTTAGGCTAAAGCTGAAGTCGTCAATTGTTATATTTTATAATATGACATTAATTTATAGTACGCGCGTGCTGATTGGTCGAGAAGCGTGTTTCTATTTAAAATTAGACAACGAGTCTGAGTTGTCTATGAGCGAATAGTCAAAAAGGCGACGCCTGAGTTGACTATTCGCTCATAGACAACGAAGGCGAGTTGTGTAATTGTCTTAGTATACACCATGTACCTAGATATATTAATTTCGAGAAAATAATCGATACACCGCATATAAAACCGAAAAATAATTTAATTAATTCAATTTTATATGGTCGCGCAACCGAATTTTTGCCAAAAGTTCACCATCACGAATAGACAATGGTTGAGTAGCCAATCAGAATGTAGGATTTGTAATAGACAATAGTCGGGTGTATACTAAAACTGTATAGAAACACGGAGAATGTTTTCTATTTCTTAAATACCGCATGCGCGAGGTCTTTAACGAGAAGTATTGGACCGAGGTCTTTTTGAACAGACCGAGCTAGAAGAGCGAAGTTTGTACAAAAATGTCTGATATCCGATATTTCTCGGTAATGACCGAGCAAGCGAGGCTAATAAAAAGTTTATTATATGGCATAAGGAATGTATTTGCATGCACTTGAAACAAACAAGAAATGCATGAATTCGTATTAGTAGCCTGGTACGCATTTGATAAAAAACAAAAACATAATATCAGTGAATTATTTATAGTCTACCTAAACCGTCTGGAGACTGTCTGGAGATTATTAATTTCACAGTAAATTAAATTTTCCCTTGAACATTTATTTGTGCCTTTTTCATTCAGAATTTCTCTGTTTTTCATCTCGGAATGGAACGCCGGTAACGCCGGCGGGAAAGTAATAGACAACTGAAAATTCTTCTCAGCCAATTACTGAGCTCCATTTCACCTGAAATGACGCTTGCCATATAATAACTAATTTTTTACCGAGAGTTAGGTCTGTGCTGCGAAATATCAGACCGAGGCTCTTTAGTATGCAAAAAGCCTCGGTCTGATATTTCGCAGTCCAGACAAGCGAGGTAAATAATCTGTTTATTATATGGGTGCATGAGACATCTGGGATACTGGTCCATATACAGGGGGTCCGGATATTGGTTTTACGGACGGCTCGTCAACCAATCAGAATATAGAATTTTGAAAAGCCATATAATAGATTAAGTCAGTTATTTATAATGCTACTTACTGTATATAGGTAAATACTTGCCTTTGAAATTTAGTCGAGCGTTGAAGCAACTTCAGATGAACAGCTAATAATTCTATCGTATCTTCGTGTCGAATCGTTCGTTCTTCGATTTTGGCAACACACTTTTTCACCTCTTCGTGGGCCGTAATAAACACAGACATTGCTCTTCCGACAAGCTTTAGGAAACCTTCATCATATCTCTCGATGAAGGAAACTGATTTAGCATTGTTGAACTCTAAGAATACTTTCTGTAATAATTTCTTTAACCCTTGCTCGAGCAGAGCAGGCTTAATCGGTACGATTTCGTATTTGTATTTTTTGAGACAAGTTAGAAAGTGTTCTTTTGTTTCCTCGCTGGAAAATGAGAAATGTACCGAATCTCCTCTCATTTCGATGCTCGGCTGTGGTTCTCTCAAGGCATAGGATAGCTGGGCAGCATGATTTTGTTTCAGGTAGTCATATAAGTCACTGTCAATCGCTGTAACGAAACCTGTCGTGTTTGGACGCTCTTCTTTACCTGAGAAAATGTTTAGATAACACTATATATAATACTGTACGCTTATTTAAGTTTTTGACATAGAGCCCATGCATCAGCTGATCAGCGCATGCATACACAGTTAGCCAGGGCCGCAACTGCTTGTGATCCTCTGAATTTACCAGAGGATACAGAGTTTTTTAATCCCGCGAAATGGGAATTTGATGATTATCCATATTCAAAATTTTCTAACTGTGTAATACAAGATTCTTTTCACAAAAGACCTTATATTTGTGTAGATTATTCACTCTATCTATATTTTTTACATATACGGCTTTTGTTTTCTGATCCGGTTCGTTTAACTTTGCCAACTCACCTTTTTGAATCTGATGTACTTCGTTTACATTCGTTTCAGCCAGTCTCAACGTCTCAACGACTTCCCTGTCCATTAATTCTTCTTTTTGTACAACTTTACTTTTGCCAATCTGTGAGTCTCGATCATGTTCGTCCGCCGTACTTGTTAATCGTTGAACAACGACATTCCCCGCAGTTAAAATACCGTCCATTGCATCTTCTTTTACAATTTTACCGAGGACAAGATCTTTGTTTAGTGCAGCTGTCATGTTGCAGACGAAATGACTTCTTCTCAGGTCGGCGACATGTTTGTCCGGATCGAGTGTGAACATCTCTCGACAATTTGGACACGGAAAGTCTCGAATAGTTTTTCCTTGGGGTGCTTCCTGACGACATGTTTGCACAACGCCTTCTAAACAATCTTTACAAAATGAGTGGAAGCAAGGAAGAGTTCTCGGGTCTTTTAGCGGTTCCAGACATATGGTACATTGTAGTTCTTTTTTCATTTCAATAATTGGGTCAGTTTCCAAAGCACCATGGCCAGCCATTCAGAAATAAACTTTGTTATTCAGGAAACCAAAACCTGGGGATTAATACTGCTATAAACACAACTCCAAACCTCAATGTGTCTGTGACGGTATCTCTTATATTCTCTCATAAATTATGTTGCCATAAAATCTGTGCGGTCGTATGAGTAAAATAGTAAAATCTTTACCTTCTATATTAATAGGTAAAGAAGTAAAAAACTTCTTTCAATATAATTATTATTATACTATATAGGCCAGATTTAAGCCAGTCTATTTATAAACGCATGACTGAACTTTCGTTTTTTACCTCATTGAAATAGATGATACGTTGGCAAACTCATCTAACGAAATTACAATTGTAAATTAAATGCCACATAAAAAAATCTTGACTTTAGTTCCCTGATTGTTTTCTATTCACAATACTCTTAATGATATGCAAAGACTGATAAAGGTATAATAGGCCGGAAATGCGTTAGGAGAAGCTGTCACGTGCCTAATAGAATGGGAGGATTGTTATAAATAAGGCAGCATGGTTAGAACACTCCCTTCTTACTCAGTTACACTGGCAGTGTAAGGTTCAGCTTTGTGATTTCTTCGTACGATCCCGCGAATTTTTTTTTCTACGTTGGGAGAATGGATAACGAGCCGGAGATACAATACGTGGCGCCCGTGAATCAACAACAAGAGCAAGCTGTACAACAGGAACCTCAACAAGCCGGGGATAATCCTGCAGCGCTAGCACCCGTTCGAAATGACGATCAACAAC